CCCTTAAAAATAAAACCCCTGCACTTGGATGATGTAACCGTCTATTTGCATGTTGGTTTTTCTCTATTTTACCTAGTTTGGACTTGACGAAAATTGAGTAGTAGTGCTGGACAATTTTGATTTTTAAGAGAAAGGCTTGAACTTTTGTATTTGGAAGTCTTGAAACTATTTGGAAAAGGTTAATGTGAACTTTAAAAAGAAATTACACAAAAGGAAAGGCTAATTCAAGTGGACAGCCTCGGTTTTGGATATATAAAACACTATAAAAGGTTGAAATACACCTTGCATGCCTTGTTTTGTGTAAGGAAGCTAAAATGAAATTGAAAAGTGCATTACCTTGGCTGGATTCGATTGAACCGTGTTGGACTATGCTTGTGTGAAAGGTTGATTATTGCTTGCAAACTTGTATGATTGACCTTGGATGAAAGTAAGTGCATGTCTTGATTTTACCATGTTATGGTGTTGGAAATTTATGAAAATTATTTGGGTGAATTGCTGGAAAAATGTGAATGATGTGAGATGAAATACTATTCATCCTTGGAATTTGCTCTTAGAAAACCGTGAAGAAGCTTGATGTGATGCTTGGCTGAAAATTTAAGTTGCTTGCTATTTAATATGATTTATGCCATGGAATTACCACTTTGATAGCATCACATACATCATTTGCATCTCACTATGAAATACTTGATGAATTATAATGATGTGCAGTAAAAGTAATTATATAATGTTGTGACTTTGATGATCTAGTGCCCTTGAGGGCTGTTTGATTGAAATGGACCGTGAATATGATTGGGATGATTGGAAATGCTGTGATCTAGTTGTCTTATAAGCTATTGAGTACTAAGACTGAAAAATCAGCAAGTGGCCATATAAGAAAAATGTGAGAAATTAAGAGGAAAGGACTTAGATTGTTTGAGAATTTATTTGATTCACTTGATGTTATAGAAAGTACTTAAGTTTGATTGAACTTCCATAATAAAGAGCGAAAAATCGAGAGGTAACAACTTAGATTATTGTGAATCAACTTGTTAATTAATGGTTTAGAGAGGAACTAAGGTTGATGATTTGTTCTTTCATGGAGAGAAAAATCGAGAGGAAAGAATCAAGAGAACAAGAGTTTGAGTTGAATGATTTATGGTTTAGAAGGTGTTAGAGATTGATGGAAATAAATGAAATTGTTAGGATGAACTTGAATGGCAAGATTGCAAGGATTGAGAAATGGGATTGTACTAAGTTACAAGAGAGATTAGGTTTGAAATATGAAAGAAAAAGAGTAAATTGAGAAAAAGGAAATGAATCAAGAGGGCTTGAATGAATTGCCTAAGCTATGGTCCAATATATTATATGCTACACTAAAATTATCCATGAGTATGAATTTATAAAACCATGAGATTATGAAATTATGATGAGAGATCCATGTTATGCTTGGAGTTCCTGAAATATACTATCTTGAATTATTATGAACTCATTGAGAATTATTGAGAAACTCATGGAATCTATCTATCCATGCTACGGCATGTGACTTATGGAGATTATCTATCCATGTTGCTAAGTCCATGATGACTTCTATTATTACTGTGCAATAGCCTCCAAGCGGCTAAACGAAATGAATTGAGAAAACTATCACAAGAAAACTGAAAATGCTACTTCATGCATCATATTATCTTGTGAAACGACTTGATGGCATAACAGAGGCACAGCTGTAGGTATTGGAAGTTTGGTCCAAATTAGACCTTCTAGGGGTGGTGAAAGGAGGAACATCCGACCTAAGTGGCACATGGCAGCTGAGCTCCCTATAGCCGGGTCGTGACCCACTTGCAAGACCTTAGCCAAACCTGACGTGAACTCCATAACACTAGGGTCGTCGAGGTCCATTCCTGAACGTGCCGGATGGCACTACACATCGACTGATGTGCTATTATTCTATTTCTATCCATGATATCACTGTACAGAGTAGGGAATGGAGTCCTCCGTTCACCATACGACTTGAGTCTATCTATCTATCTCTATGCTAAAAGCTGGGCAAGTCACCATTCATAGAGGAATGGGATCCCCATGCATCATCTGCATATTATTGACACATGAGTGACTATATGGGTGAGATCGGAACCTGCATTCATGCATCATTTGCGTTACTATTAGGGATGATTAAGTACTTGTAAGATTGGCTATGATTATGAATATATTTATCACCTACTATGTTATTGAATGTTCAATTATGTTGAGTGTTGATTGTTGGACTGAATTGTGACTGTGACGCCGCCTCCCTTGGGGTATGGCTCATGATTGATGTTTGTATTTGGAGAACTCACCCCTTTGTTTGTGTTGCCTTGTGTCGTTCTTCTTTTATTTATATAGATGGACAAGAACAAGGTGAAGGTGTGGATCCTTCCTTCTGAGGAGGACATGTGGGTGTTTGACTCTGTGACTCAACAAAGTATCTTCTGCGGATTTGCTCGAGTGATTCATGGATTGGAGAGTGGAGGTTCGTGGATCACCCAGTATGCTGCCGACATCCCTATTAAGATTGTTTTTTCTGTTTCTCCTGGTGACACTCAGTTACCTTACCCTGCCTTGTCTGCTTCCCTGACTCCTATGTCTATTGACCCTCGTACTCCTATTATTAGGCCAGTTCCTACACTTGTGCCATTTTCTTTTATGCACCTTGCTTCTCCACCTGTGCTAATGGAGATGGATGTCCAAGTGGTGGAATCCTCCATTAGGTACACTACTTTGCCTTCCTACAAGCATCCTGCATACCCCTCTACCTTGTTACCTACTGCTGATACCCGTTCACCTCCTTGCACTGTTGGATGAACATAGGAGAATGGTGGAGACTCTGTTGCTGCTGCTTCCTTTAGCTCTGCTTCCCCTACATCTTCTAAGGAGTCTGATCCCATTGAGGATTACTCTTCTTATGATTGATGTCTATTTATTTACTTATATTTTAGGGGAACTGCTCTTAGGAAGTTTGGTTTATTTAAGTTATGTTGTATTTGGATTGTTAACCGATCTGTTTCATTTAAGTACTTGACGTTTCCGCACACTTATGCTTAATCTATTGAGGTATTTTCAGATGTTGAGTTGTGTTGATCTTATATCATTATACTATTGAAATTGAAGTATAAAATGATGAGATGAGAAAATCATATGCATGTTAACTCTCTCAGAGAAAGGAGACTATACTTGTGATTGTATGAAGGAGGAAAAAAAAATTATTTTCAGATTTTGGGGTTTTCTGAACTACTATCTTATAAAGGATGATATCAGAGTTTAGCAATTTAGAACGCTACGTAAAAAACCTGGCTCTGATATCAAAGTTTAGCAATTTACATGAAAATAGAACACGACCTATTTTGGCTAATTTCTCCCCTCTCAAGATTTGATAGCTAAACAATTTGGATCAATAATAAGAATAGATGAATAACATGAAGCCACTTAAAATCACAATAATTATCACACCATGAAATCAAAGCTCAAAAAAAGAAAACAAGTAACTTTTTATACCTCGCAATTATTCCAATCACTAACAAATTAGAACTTCAGATAATAAGCAAAATAATAGAACACAAAGAAAGATCCTAACACAATAGCAAAGTGAGGGGTGTTACAATTGACATATCATCATTATTTTTTTATATTTTATAATATAAATTAATATTTGTAAAAAAGTCTTTCATTTTGCATAAAGAAAGAGAAAACTATGAGTATCAATATTTTAAAGGACTTTTTTTTATTAAAAATTTAATTTTTAAATAATAAAATATAACATGACTGGCACTAACGAGCGTTCGGCTCATCACTTAATATCTCAAAATTAACGGTAAAGACTAAATTCTTACATTTTAAAAATGTTAAAGACTAAATCCTAACACATTTTTCTAATAATTTTTTAAGTACTTATGTTAAAGAGTGATATTTTCCTATGTATAGAAAACATAATTAACTCTAATAAATAATGTAATAGAAAAGGAATAAAAAAAGATAAAAAATATAGATAACAAATAAATATAAAAATAAAGGAGTATAAAAATAAAAAAATAATATTATATTTAAATTTATTTTATTTTAACACATTTTTTGTTTAAATCACTATAAAATGCCTTAAAATATTTAATACAATTGCATTTTATGAGATTCAGATTTAAGAGCATAGCCAATAATAATATCTTATTTCAAGTTATTTTATTGTAATATTTTTTTTTTGTTTAGACCATTGAGAATAGATTGCATTTCATGATACTTAAATTTAAGACTATAAGTAAAATTAAAATAATAATTATTAGTTATTTTATATGCTTATTAGTTTATCGTAAGAGTATGTTAGCAACACATTTTTTAATATATTTTTTTAACACATTTTATATTATTAATTAAAATTTATTAAAAATTAAAAAAATCACGTGAGTGTCACTCTTTTTTATTAAATATTTTTATATTTTTAATTTTAAATAAATTTTAACTAATAAAAAAATATATTAAAAAAATATGATTCTAATATTTGTCTTATCATAATACTCAATAACATAGTATCTCATATTTATTTAAAAAAAAAAACCCTTACCTTTTGTTACATGATATTAATAATGTATATCAAAATATAAGATTTTAAGAAAATTATAAAAATATGAAAATTTAAAATTTTCATTTATTTTTGAATAAAATATAAGAATTTAAAAATTTTATTGATAATTTTGAACTAAAAATAATTAATTTATAGAATTAAAATTCAATATTTTAAAAATTAATTAATTTTATTAAAAAAGTACTCTGACAATTTCTGAACTTTCGTATTCCCCGTAATCATCTCTAAAATTTTATATTTTAGTTTGTAATATTTTCAAATTTCATATTTAAATTTTTTTTTTTCATTTCAAATTTTTTTTAATCACGGTAAACAGGTGTTGTTTATCCATTAGTCCGTCGTGATCATTCTGTCACAGCCGTGTAATGAATGCGTTTCCTTGGATCGTCATCTGAATTCGGATTTTCTTATTTTCTTCGTCAAAGTCGTACGGACGGATATTCCGCTGAATCAATACCTCGTTGGTTTCAGAGACAGTCACCTTCGGATCTAAGATGAGATCGCTACGCTTGCTTTGATTTTGTCTTCTCCATCATCGTTTTCTATTCTCTTCTTCTTTTCGGGAATCATCGTTTTCTTGCACCCATATCTGATACCATGAGGAAGAAACTCGATACCCGTTTCCCCGCTGTAAGTGATTTTCTTTCAGTTTCAATTTTTTTTCCTTTGCGTGTCATTGTAGAGTTTGGCATCTAGGAAAGTTGTGGAAAGTGAAAGTAATTTTTTTCTAACTTTAATTGAATATTTCTTATTTTGTTTGATGGTAATTGAGAGTTTTGTTTTTTTGGTCTGGGTCGTGGGTTCAATTAGGTTGAGTGACATGATGAAGTCGGATCACTGTAATTTAGTGTAATTTCTGGGAATTTCTTTGTTTGTGGTTGATAATTGAACTAGATTGGTTTGCAGTGATTGGAGGGTTTTTTGGGGGCTTTTGATGTTTGTTTTAGATGATTGGTTTAGTTTGGGTTTTGGAATTTTTGTTTTTAGCTATATTTTGGGTTCTGTGATTGGAGTTGGTGTCAAAATTAATGATTCTTGAGTTGAGACTGCTGTGGAGCTTTATGATAGGTATTTTATATGTTTAGGTTTTGAATAAATATAACTGTGTTTACATGGCATTAACCGTTCTCTATGGCCCTCCCTTTTAATTATTCTAATGAGCTGGAAATTTGTGGTGAGCAATTTGTTACTTTTGTTTCTTCAATGATCCTTCTATAATGCTTGGTGTTAGGGATATAATTGTTCCTTTGTTGTTTCCACTGCAGCAAACATCACTTTATTGTATAAAGTATACTTGTAAAGATGTACTGGGACATGATTTTTGACAATAAGTTTGGAGGTTAATGATAGTTCATGGACATATTCCTCATTATCTCGATGACATGAAGTGAAGCTTGTTAAATATGTGTGTGATGACAGTGCAAATTATGCTCTTAGACTGTTAGGTAATACCCTCAGAGAGACAGATTAGTTAAACGTAATGGAGCAGATTGTAGAATGACATTGTCCAAAATGAAGTCATGGATGTAAGTGTCAAGTTTTTTTGCTTGTTGTTGTGATCATATATGCAGGTAACTTGTTCACTCTCCAACAATGTGAATGGAACTTGTACAATTGGATGGAGAATGCCTCCTCCTACAGTTGAACTACATCCTTGTAGAAATCTGAAAGGGTCAGTGTGCCAATTGATGAATTAAGAGGTTTTAAGATGTCTTACTTTGGCTAGGAATAGAGACAAAATACTCTTTATAAGGACTTGAGTAGTCCTCCTTTTACGAACTAACTTTTGGGAGTGAGTTAGGCTCAAGTTTCTGAAGATGGTATTAGAGTTCAGTTTGGATGTTGGACTGCACATAGATATCCAGTCCTGTTGGACTACTTGCAGATGTCCAGCCTTGGATGTTGGGGGGAGGGGTTAAGATATCCCACATTGCCTAGGAAAAGAGACAAAATACTCCTTATAAGGACTTGGATAGTTCTCCTCTGACGAGCTAGTTTTGGGAGTGAGTTAACCCTAAGTTTCTTAATAGGAGGGAATACAGCTAAGGATGGTAATGTGTTACTGGGCCAATTACCAAAAAGGATACTGGAAAGTGTACTCTAGGAGAGGTATGAGAGGTGTTGGGCTAGTAAGTTAGATGAGGTGGCATTCTGTTAGAATGTTGGTAAGGGGGGCTACATGTGATTGGAAAGGAATAACATGGGGTTGATTTGTGCATGGGGAGGGTAGGATAGTCTTTTGTTATTTATGAGGAATTATTTTTCTCTGAGGAGCCTGGCACCACTGTGGCCTTGTAAGCTCTATGAGCCTTTTCTTTTACATTCAATAGAAGAACTCAGAATAACTGAGTTAGTTCTCTGGAGTCCTGTCAAAATCCATTTTTATGACTGGTCTAATTCTGTTACAAACCTACTGGTCTAATTCTGTTACAAACCTACTATTATCTACTTATCTTTTTCTTACTTTATCTATAATTCTGTGTGTCCTTATGTAAGTCATTCTTCCTGCACTTAATTGTGGAAACTTAGGAGACTGCTTATCCTCCAACCAAGTACACCATACATTGCATAAATTGCACGCTACTGTAAAATTGTGCATCCTTGTTTTGCCAGGATCTTTGAAACATGAAGAGAATCTGTTCCAAAGGGAAATTAAAATTTTAACATTCCCAAAGCACGGCAGACAAATAATTGTAAAAAGAAAGTAGCTATCAGGCAATGTAAAAATGAATAGGTCACAAACAATTTGTTTGGGTTTTTGGTTATGCTTAGCTGGGTCTTTCATTCCTTTTACTTTGGAACAGTGGGCCGTGGCAAAATGGTGGCAAATGTTTTGCAGAAATGTGCTGTTTTTGCTGTCATATAGTACATTTGTTGGACCAGAGTGCTCACATATTTAAGGTGTCTCACTACTTCTTAACTTATTATGGGACATGATTGTGTGTATAACCTCTTTATGGTGCTGTACTAACGGCTTTTTCTTTTTATGTAATACTAATTACTGTTTCAAAACATGCACAGATATTGTTGTGTAGCTTAATTGAGTCTTTGCTACTTTTTTCTTTGCTACTTTGTTTGGTGGGGGGATTCATTATCCTCCATAATCGTCGTATTTAGTGTGTATTTGGCAATGGCTTTTCTTCAAGAAATATTGTTTTATTTTATTTTTCTGAAAGCTCTCAGGAAGCTGATGTGAAAAGCAATTATATCTTCAAAATAAGCTCAGTTCTATTGAATAAATAAATAAATAGGTCCTTGTTTTCAAACTGGAACTACATGCAAGAAAAAGCATTCAAAGATAAAGATTTGTGTGAGGTCTGCTAATCTTCAGCACGTCATTCATGTTAACCCTTTTAACTATTATGTACTTCCAATATCCAATCTTAACCTGTTTATTTGTTATTTTAGTGTGTTGAAATGTTTTCTGGTTAGTTTTATGTTTCATTGTGCTGAAGAAGATTTATCAAAATATTTATGCCTGTCATTATTCCCTGTTACAATGTGTTTACTATTTGAAGTGCCAATGCTGAGAATGAGGTGGCAAGTAGTTTATGGAATTTATAGTAACGTAGTGTTTTGAGTCCTGATTTACTTTTTCTTCTTATCATTACTATCCTAAAAATTAGGTTGAGCTAATTTCTCAAGCTTTTAATAGGCTGATTTGATAAATTCCTGATAGTGTGGTGTATCAAAATGCTATTCTTCCTTTAGGGAATATTCTTATGTCATTATTCGTAAGAGAGAATTTAGCATTATTGTGCCATTCCATAATCCATTTGATGCTCTATAGCCAGGTGCTATCTATCAATGTTCCCATTCTACATTCTCAGTATACAGAAGTTATGTCTAATTAATGATATGTGTGATTACTTTCTTTGGCTTTTATCTTGTGTGCTTTATTTTATTAGAGCTGAGAGACATACCAATCACCATGTTCCAAACCCACTGAAGGGGAAGGGGTGGGGGGTCTTTCTATGAAATGGAAAATGCATTTTCATTTGAGTCATACTGTTCTTCCTCACCAGTAGGAATGTTTAAAACCTGATTTTCATTTCATTTATTCCTCTTTTCTGTTCCATATTTTAAAAGAATGCTTTATTTGATGGCAACATTAATTTTCAGGCTCGGATAAAGAAAATAATGCAAGCAGATGAGGATGTTGGAAAGATAGCACTAGCAGTTCCTGTTTTAGTATGTAAGTTGCTTTTACTTACTGCCTAATTAATTCTTGGCCACAGCTCATGTTGACACCACTCTTAAATTTTTAACAGCTAAAGCTCTGGAGTTATTCTTGCAAGATCTTTGTGATCGCACCTACGAAATAACTCTTCAGAGAGGAGCAAAGACCATGAATGCATTGCATTTGTAAGTCAAGGAATCTTTTAATTTGTATTGTTTTTTCTTCAAGCAACCTTTAGGCTTCAAGTGTGTCCAATAATAGATCTATATTACCCTGTGCTGAATTTTGTTTTAATTATTAGGAATTGTGGTAGCAAAATTCAAACTCCTCATTGATTGGTCAAAAAGGGTCAGATTTGTTGTCATGTTTGATCAAGTCATCCTAAATGTTAAGCTTTTAGGTTTTACATCTCAGCAGATTTCATGAGTCTGTTGAAATTGATAACTTCATTAAAGTCAGCTTCTGATTGGAAAAAATCATTTAACACGTTCTGATACGGACTGTATCAAAGATACTTACAGAACAGAAAGGCAAAGAAATAAAAAGAGGGAAAAGAGAGAAGAAATCCTGAGAGCAATGCTCCCCCCAGCAAGAGAAAATCTCTCCTACCCAAAATTACAATTGTAATCCACGATACCCACCCCTTACAGCCACTTTCCATATAACAGAGTCAGTTCTAACTAACTTGCTACAAGTTTCCCCTTTTGCCCCTAACACATTAAGGCCCAATAGTCTTTGATTTTCGCTGGTAGACTTTTCCCCACCTAGAGGGCGGGGTACAATTCCTATCACGTTCCTTTTGGTTATGTTTGGGAGGGAAAGGTAAAGGAGACGATTTTTATTTTTAAATTGAGAGAGTTATATAATGTTTATAGAAAGAAGCAAAACATTAAGTCATCATGTTTATGCTAATTTGTCATTTTATTGCTTGTATTCTGAAAATTTATCAAATGGGAAAATATTTATTAGAATAAATTTTACCCTCCCTTTTCTTTTCCTCCAAAACACTACTCCCAAACATACCCTTAGTGTTAAGGTTTGAGTGATGAGTGACGAAACACAGTGAGGCTAATTAAACTATGCTAATGGATGCTAATTACCATCAGCTCTTGCAACAGATTTGATTAGTTTTCTCTGTAGCTTCATTTCACTAAACATTCTACTTGTATTTTTTGTTTCTATTTTTGGTAATTGTTATGAAGCATGCTTCCTGGTGCCAAAATCAGTTTAATTTGTACATTTTATTCAAAGGAAATGTGCCAACATCTTGAAGTCTTTTATGTCACATATGTCCCCTTTTGTTACACTTTTTATGTACAACAAATTTGATACTGTTACTAAGAAGTATATCTGAGATTGTTGATATTGCATAGTATGAGTATACATATTCTATACTGATCTTCATGTGCATGTCTCTCTTTCTCTCTCTGTATATATATATATATATATAGCCTCCACCATGTAAATATGTAATGATGGACTAGAATGCCACTGGTTGGTAATCAACTGTGATTGTCAGCAAAAAGTCATAAAAATAACGACACCTGTAGAAGAGAAAATGATTGAAAACCATTTAACATGGTATGGGCATGGTGGCGACATTCACTAGCCCTAGTATCAGTGTAGTCAAAATCGCGATCTTACACGTAAGATCAGACGATTCCACGAGCTTTTGCAGCGCCTGCGATCCCGTTCCTGCCTTGCAACGCAATTTTCCGAGATCGCTGGGATCGCACGATCTTCCTCGTGAAATCGTGCAAGCGTGCGATCCTGGACGAGTTTGATGGAACCCCATATTCTTTAAAAAACCCGATTACCTGATTTGACCAGGCCTGTTTTTTTGACCCGCCTTATTTAATCTTAGATGTTAGGGTTTTTTTTTTTTTTTTTTTTTCATTCTTCCCTTCTCACTTGCCCCTTTCTCCACGACGCAGTGTTTTCTTCCTCAACACAGCAATGGCGACCCAAAGTTCCTCAGCACCGCTGACCGTGACCCAAAGTCTTCTTCCTCAGTTCCCAACCCACAATCTCTTCTTCTTGAGCAAAGTGTTTCTTCCTCAGCACTGGACCCACACTCTCTTCTTCCTAAGCACTGCGATCTACACTTTCCTTCTTCCTCAGACTCACGATGCACATATCATACTAGGCTAATATGATATGAATATTACAAATATGGGGGTGGGATGGGGCATTGGAAGGTAGAGAGAAACCCAGGAAGACTCAGTGGAGACGCATTGAGTTACATGTGGGTGACTTGATTGAGGACAATGGCATGATGGAATTCGTGTAACTTACTCCAGTTAATGTGATCAGGCTTGGGTGGTGTTGTGTGTAAAATGCTACTTTTACAGATCCTACCATCCTAAAACATTACACTTTTTGTTGGAGGGTCATAGATCCTACCAGTTAATATCTAGGAGATTCTCTTGCTTAAGAAAATTTGTCCATGCATACATTTACCGTATTTGGTTTATTTTTGTTGATCCAAGTCAAGCAAGCAATCTCGTATTGTAGTTTTTACTTAATCATTGACATTTCAAAATACATACATTTTGTGTTTTCTTTTGTATAACATGCTATATTTAAACAGAAGACAACTATTACATGTGAGCATGACATCCTATTAACCAAACACGCTGAGTAGTTGAGACTTGAGAGCACCTAAAAATGGGGACACGTAACTAACCTTAGGAGTTACAAATTTACTTTCTCTGATGTCTGTTTTCACATTGTTATATTAAACTGTGTAGTATTTAGGACCTGTTTAATTATCATGTGATACCACTTCTCTTCCCTGCTTTTCAGTCTCATATATATCTTTAATATTCACAAGTATAGTCTGACCAGTCGTTAATTTATATTGTAGGAAACATTGTGTACAAAGTTATAATGTCTTTGACTTTCTGAGAGACATTGTCAGCCGGGTTCCTGATTATGGGCATGGACATGGCCATGGCCATGGCCATTCGGAGGTTGGGGCTGATGATCGTGCCCTTCCAAAGAGAAGGTTTGAAGTTCAACAACCTTTATCTATTCTTTATTGTGTCTGATTATCTATGCATATAATCAATTAATGTGTTAAGAATGCTATATTCTACCAGGAAAGCTGTTGGTGATGATGGCAATGATAGTGATGAAGAGACTAAGAGGAGTAAGATGGTAATTGCACTTTCATGAAAGTCCTTGATAATACTTAACTAATTATATTTATTAGACAAAGTAAAATATAATAAAACCACATTGACAATGGTACAATAATTGACATACTTGCACCATCTCATAACTCCTTGGAGAAAACGATTGCTGTTTATTTCTTCCATTGAATTATATCTAACTATCATGTTTAAGCTGCACCTAAATTTTGTAATATATAAATTGCTTCAAGTATGTGATCAATAAGGGGATATTTTCTTTTAGTTTTGAAGTGGCATTTTTCATTCAAATTTATTTTGGGAGGAAGGGAAATTTTATCCTGTTTGCAAAATGAAAAATGGCCTAGTCCTGGACTACTGTTTTGGTCAATAACATTTTTTGTTTTATCGCAGCATGAGTTGGGGCACACTGGTACTACTGGTAGGGGAAGAGGCCGAGGTAGAGGAAGAGGCCGTGGTCGAGGAGCTCGAAATGTAGAAAGAGAGGCCAGTCATCAGCAGGTTGAATCTGAGCCTTGTACCTCAGTCCACCAAAGTAGCAAAGATATTCCTAATACAACTGTAGCAATAGATGATCCAGAATCCAAGGAGTTATCAAAGGAGAACACTGCAGTTTCTGAGGAAAGTACTCAATCTTTCCGTAACATTGATTTGAATGCCAACTTAAATGAAAATGAAGACAAAAATACCAGCGTAGCAGCTCAGGCCTCATTGCCTGAACCTGCGGCAACAGAAATTAAGCATGAAGAAATTCCGGGTTGGTCCCTTTCTGATGTGGACAAGATGGCCATTGACACTATGCAGCTTGCTAACCTTGGCAATAGGCTACAAGAGGATGAGGAAGATTATGATGAGGAAGGATAAATAATCTACACTTTGGGTGATTCGTGCTAAAAAAGCTTGTGATAACAGAAGAATAAGTACATACTTATGCTTTGATGACTATAGTAATCACCTGCATGAGTCACATGCTAAATATATGATCATCCCTTCTTTATCTGGTATGTATCTGTTTTCGTGTAGCAGATGTAGCTTTTTTCTCTTTTTAGCAGTAATGTTAGCTTCTTGCACTTTTAGGCTTTAAATGGATGTTTGTTGACAACCACCCTGCTAGTACAGGGTCAAACACTTGGTAAAGCTTTAGTTACTAGTTGATTTCATTATGCTGTGTTATTCAAGATATTCGTTGCATGCATGATCCAGTGATTGGATTCGTGTTAGAAGACCTATAAACGTGGATTCAAGGGCAAAAACTGCAATTAGTAGCATCAAAGTAAACGCGGATTTAGAAATATCTAATTGCAAATCCAAATATGCTAATAAGTATGTTAAAAAGCACTAATGCCTGTTTAATCGTTTTATAAATTAAATGTAATTTCAATTATATTATACAATTGCATTTAGACGTTTCACATTTTATTTCAATATTTAATTCCAGACACAGTTAACGAAGGTACAAACTGATGCCTCTTTTTATCCAAGTTTTGAAGTCTAAAGAAACGAGTAACTTGTTTGGATTCAACTGCCAAAAGCACTTCTTGATTAGATTGAAGTCGCATGTTTCTTTCCTTGTCCCTCCCATTAGAAAAGGATACATATTGAAAAAATTTGTCTATCCCTTTAAATAACATTTTCAATTTTAATCTCTTAATTTTCAAGGTGTTGTTCTTTAATCATATTTAAGGTTCATTCAGTTATTGGAAGCCATTTTGGGGTGTTCAGTTAAGTCTCATGGGATTCTTGTTTGTTCTGAATTCATTTGCATGTTTTCTCTCTCAAACTATTATTCCCTCTTTTGAAAATTGTGATTTTTTAAAGCTTTGAAAGATAATTTGAATAGAAAAAAAAAAGTATTTGATAATAACTTTTATTTCAAGATTTTTAAATGTGACGGAAAATTTTTATAAATCCTTCCAAATTTTCATAAATTTATGTTTTTTTAATCTTCTTAATTTAGACTTTTTTATATTTTTCTTTTTTGTCCTTTCTCCCCTGATATCCTTTTCCTTTTTCTAAACACTCAAATAAAGATTAGGAGTTGCTTTTTGCAATATATATATATATATATATATATATATATATATATATATATATATATTCTATTTGCACTCATTTCCAAAGTAGCCGAGTGACATTAACATGGTGCTACAATTTTCTTTCACTTCCATTTTTAAAATTTATTTTAATTTATCTAGAAATTGGTTCTAAACGAAGGATGTTACAAAACTCCTAAACTTGAAAATTTACCTTAAATTAATCTCAAACTATTCAATTTTTGTTTTTATTTTATTTTTAACATTGTGCCATCACCATCAGAATTGAATCTTCCACACTAGAGACGTTCTCGGAATCGGATGACATAGAAAACATTGGACACAACTACTAAAACTTCCTCTAAATCCTCAACCTAATCAAAAGGTTTTTCTTCCACAACCACGCTGCTAGTTTCATCATTGGCACACTGTTCGATGACAGGAAAGTGTTAGGAGTGAAAAATAAAGATATACAAAATTTTACAATTGGATTAATTAAATTTTATGTTTATAAAAATTTACTTAATGAAATAAGTAACTAAGACTTAGGTCCTGTTTGCATCGGGGGTGAAATAAAAGAAAAAGAAATAATATTGAAAAATATAATGAAAAATGTTTAATGTTTGATAAAAAAAAATTTCACTTGTTGGTTTGGATGAATAATAAAAAAAAAAATTTAATTGAAAAAAGACCCTATGCTCTCCCCTTCCTTTTAAAGTAAGATGTTTGATTTTTTCGGTACGATTGAAAAGATTTTTAACTCCTCATTAATTTCTTTTTCGTTTTTTTAATATATTACCATCTGGAATATGGACGACAACGGATAAAGTACTATAGTACTTATCTCCATATCTACGTTTTAAAAAGATATTGTACCTAGTTTTATATTTATATGAGTAGTAAGTTTAATTCCCATACTCGTACCTTCTGGGTACCCATACCCACCCTTATTACTTGGGTTTGTTTAAAAAAAAAAAATTTATAAAAAGATATACTTATATAATTTTACATTAGTAGTATAATAATACAAAAATTTGATACATAATTTCATAACAAAGTTCAAACATAAATAGAAAATAAATATTCAGAGATCACAAGTGTTAAGTATATTTTAATATATTAACTTTCTAAACCAAAGTACCTAAAAATTATATGCAAAATTTCACAAATAATCTTCAAGATCAACTAAAATAATCAACTCATAAACTTGAGAGTCATATACTTTCACTCTCTAGTACCTAAAAAAAAAAAAAATAATTATTTATTTATTGTAAAGTCAAAATAATAGATATTATTTTGCACTAGCCATACCTAAAGAAATTAGAACATATAAGTACATAATATGAATTAATTTTTATATTAACCATGTAATAATTAAATTATATTAGTCTAATTAAACGATATAAAATAGTAAATAAAATTTTCTATTAAAAATATGAAAAAAATTATTTTTATGATTTAGTTTATTGGTAAATATATTTTTATGTTAACCTTAAAAAATAAATTTAATTAGATAAATTTTTATATCTTTAAATATGCATTATTTTATTTGAGTAACATAAATATTTATATTAAATTTTTTGACATTTTATTTTGCATAGAAAAAATTTTAAAAATAGAAAATTATAAATTGAAAGATAATATTACTCAAAAATTTAAAATAAAAAATTTTTTTATTAAAAAATAAAATAATTATGACCTATAAAAGAACTGAAAAATATAAAAGATAAAATTATATAAAATAAATAATGAAATATTTATCTTGACCAAAATTTTTTAAAGTATAAACAAAAATTTTTTAAAAACTAAAAATGAATTAGGTTCTTGTTTTTTTAAATTCTTAGGGTATGTTTGAGAGGTTTTTGAATGGGAATGGAGGGGAGGGTATGTTTTTTAATTTTAAATTAAAATAATTATATATTATTTATAATGACAAATACATTATTAATACATTAATTTTTTGTTAATATATTAATTTATACTTATATATATATATATATATATATATATATATATATATATATATATATATATAAAAGCAGGTATGGAGTAGGTTGAATACTTAGGTACCTGTAGCTGTTTAGCGAGTACTCATCAATTATTTTACCCATTATCATTCTTAATCTGAAGTAAATCCTTTCTCTATATATGTTTATGTTATATTAAAATTTAAATATTTTAATTTTTTTTTTAATAAAATGTGATCTTGATCTTAAGTTCTCGTAACTTGTTGCTATAACGACAACTGGAGGTACACTAAAATTTTAAAATAGAGTAAAATTCTGTAATTTATAACAGCAAATTTGCCTCAATCATGAACAGAAAAAGAGAATACCAATTCCAATGAAATGGTCTTAATTACAAGTTTTAAGACATAAAAAATAAAAACTGAAGGCTCCCACAATCAATTACGAACACTCCAAATGACACAAAATAGAAATGTACTAAAACCAAAAGTCACACGCTAAGTTGAGGCAAAAATTTTATTTGGGGATGATCAGAGTAAGTGCATCGTTTGTGAGCTGCAAAATGGAAAATTTGAACCTGTCCATAGAGACACAAGAAATAGTCAATTTTCAGCAGTCTATAAAAGTATTCAAGCAAATTGATTTTAATTTAATTATATTTTAATGCTAAATAAAAATTCTTGTAAGTTGTTGTACATCTTATGAAATAGAGTTCATTAAATTAGCAAATAACAAAAAACAAGAGTTCATGCAAGATGATGAATATAAAAAAAATAGAATTTAACACCAACACAATTTATAACAAAAGAATACAGCCCCCCCTTCAATCAACAAAATGGTATGCTTTATTATTTGATTGATATATATAGACACACACTGTAGTAGTACTTATACGAGTACAACGCATATAGACATAGCCAGTTCAAAAAAACTGAAAATAACTTTGGAATGTTCCCAAATCATTTAATCTTATTATTAACAAATTAAAAGAACCAATTGATTTTCTTAAAGTAGTTATGGATGCATAAAGCATAATTTTGTTTGAACTACGTAACAATCCACCTTTATTAAGGGAAGGTTGATGTATGACATGAAGAAAGATAAAATAGAGAAAAACAAAAATGTAACAATCATATACTGTTGAAAATAGCATTATAATATAATTTCAAACGTTTATAGAAACAACATTGCATGGTATGAAGAAAAGGTACCTTCATATTTCAGACATTAGCTGATGTGGGAATAGGGCGCAACTCATAGTCATGAAATTTTGGTCCCACATTCTGACGAATAAGTACAAGTTCAATGTGCTTAATAATTGAATAGTCTTGTCCAACCTTATCGGGATCAATGCTTTCTACTAATTCAGCTGGCATATCAGCAAAGCCAAGAAATTTAAGGTTTTCCAAGTGTTTGAGATCATGAGGCACCACCTTCAATTGTGGGTTATCTTTAAATCTGAAGTGTTCAAGACCAAGCAAAGCTCCTTTGGCTATAGAGATAGAATTTAATGTATTTAATCTAGTGAGATCAAGTTCCTTTAGCTTTGGAAATCCTTCCTTTTTAAAATGCAAACTTTCGCCAACATATGCATTGTCCCACAAATTGAGCCTTAATAAATTGGGCAAGTCTTTTAGTGAGTCTAATGGATCTTCTTCTAACATGGATAAACCAAGCCTTAATTTGACAAGATACTCAAGTTTTGGAATCCATTCAGGCAACTTTGTTACACGAGCTTTCAAATTCAACACTCGAAGTTGGGGTGGTGGAGCTGAAACAAAATTCAAGTCAATGACTTCATCCTCAGCAATAGCACTAACATTGAGAGATTCAAGGAGGTTCATCTCTCCTATTGCAATAGATAAGGCATTTGCATATTCTGTTTGCATGCGCCTTATACCTAACTTCCTTAACTGTTTCAACATTTTGAGCTCATGCATAAGGTCTAATCCACCATGATCAGCCTCCAAAAAGTAAAGCTTTTGTAAGGACTTTAAGCATCCAATACCCTTTTGCATTTTCACCCCAATTGTAAAGTTCAACATAGAATACTGTCCTTCATATTTTCTATAGTAAGCTGGAAGAAGCCTTAGCTTTGTGAGGTTGTTTATCTCTCTTGGTAACACATGCACATGTGTTTGTCTTAGATCCAAGGTTTCTAAGTTTAGCAACTTACCAATGGATCTAGGAAGAACCTCTACTTTTGTATGACTCAAGTTCAAGTACCTTAGGTGAAAAAGATTGCCCAAATTTTCAGGAACATAATTCAACAAAGTACTTTCAAAATCAAGAATTTTCAAAAGCTTGAACTTGGCACATAATCTACCAACAAAATCCTTACGCAATTCACTTTTGTCAAAAACAAAAATAGCTCGAATGCCAGAGTTATTTGTCCTTCTTAACACATTGTTGGAACAAGTAGCAATAGAAAATCGCCTAGTTATTCCAACTGTATCTAGCTCATCATCTTCATGCATTATGTGGCAAACACTCAAATCTTTCATTTTTCTAATGAGTACTTCACGCAATAAATCATGAACTTGACAACTTTTAACTTTACCATCAAAGCCAACTCTGGACACTTGAACCAAACTTCTATGAATTAATTCTGTCAAGTTCTCTTCAGCAACCTCCTCCATAGGTCTTTTCTCCTCTCTTTTAACAAAACCTTCAGCCATCCATTGCCTAGTCAATCTCTTACGTTTGATGGAGTAGTCCTCAGGATACATACCAAAATACAACATGCATGATTTCAAGTTGTGAGAAAGATCATCATAACTAAGAGATAAAATCCTTGTTAAACTAGTTAAATGTGCATTATGCTCCAACTCAATTCTTAGATTCTGAATTACCTTTCTCCATTCAAACATGGTTTTTGCTTTTGTTGACAAGAGACCACCAATGGCAACAATTGCTAGTGGTAGCCCTCCACATTTTTGAACAATTTCTTTGGACATGTCCTCAAGTTCATTTGGACACTGCTTATCATGCGTAGATCTAAATGCCTTCTTGCAAAAGAGTTCCCATGCTTTGTTTGGATGCAAATGTTGTAGCTGGTGAACATGAACAAAAAATGACTTCTTAAAATAGTCTGCAACATGCATCATTCTAGTAGTGATTATAATTCTACCACCTTTGTTATTATTAGGCAAGGCATGCTCAATCTCATCAGAAAAATTTTCTTTCCATACATCATCAAACAACACCAAATACCTCTTCAACTGAAGGTATTGCCTCACTTCTGTGATTAATGTGGTATCATCCATGTTATGTAGGCCCTTTGGAAGAGGCTCATTAGCATCCTTGCAAAATTTCGTTACCATCTCTATCAATAGCCCTCTCACAGTGTATGATTGAGAAACTGTGATAAAAGAACGACAATGAAAGTGACCTTTCACTTGTTGGTTGTCAAAAACATGCTTTGCAAGAGTAGTTTTTCCAAGTCCTCCCATGCCTACCACAGCAACCAATGAACTCTCCTTGGTTCCCTCCAACAAGTAACCAGTCAGTTCATCTCTTGGTGATTCAAATCCCACAACTTCAGTTTCTTCAATGAAATGAGAAGCCATTCTAGGGTCACCCCATTTGACATCTTTTGCTCCACTAGAACTGCTTGATCCATCTTCAAGTGATGATGAAGATTGAAACTGATACTTGTCACTTCTTTCTTTGATTCCTCTAAGTAATAACTTGATATCTTGAATCTCAGATGCAATCCTATGACGTGGCTTCAGGGTTTTGATTAGGTTAACAGTCTTTTGAAGTGAGACCATCCATTGTGGATGATGATAGTTGACCTCATATGCCACATCCATGATGTATTCATCAATAACATCTTCTATGTGAAAAGATGCTTCTCTTAGTTGCTTCACCCATGTTTTTATTCCTTCATTAGTGTCTCCTCCATCATCTCCAGCTTTTCTATCTGCATCCTTTAAGAAGGCTTTGATGCTCTCTAATTCATGTTTGATGTCTGAAAAATCACTTCTTAGGCCTTTCAGCAAACTTCTTTCTTCTATTATAAGTTGGTACAGCTGCTGCAAAACAAATGATACTGCAGTTTCTGCCATTATTTCACTTCATCTCATCATGATATTAGCTTGCTATTTTGTCAATTCTAGCAAGTATGAAGTTTTGGTGATTTTTTGGTACTACAGCTAGCTTTGCTCATTTTGAATAATGGGTTTAAAGGGACATGCTTTTAATTCCACTTTGTGCCTACTTTAATTGCTTTGGATAAGTTTGGAGCGTTAGGTGGATCATCACTCATTAAAGAAAAAAAAAAGTACAACCCTCACCATCCATTTAGATATAGAAATAGGATTAATAATGTAATGTAACTCTGACAGAGTCTTGGTCTTTGAAATAATCTTACTTCGCTTGGAGAACCTGCAAATTTAATGATATCTTATTTTCCTTCATGCATCAAGGAGGCAACAAACACTATTTTAAGTGTTATACTCATTACTATAACTTTTTAATTTTAGCATATCAAATTACCTTGACAAATAATGCTATGAATTTAATTTAGGCAATAAAAAGTAAAAAGATAAACCAGATAATTTATGCTACATCGCAATATGTTTTTATGGGCATCTAGCATTTCAACTATGTGGGGTGCTGGGAATGGTAGCAAGGAAAATTAAGCTCCAAAAGTAAAAGAAAGGGAACGTGCAAAGTGGATGCCTTCCAACTTTCTCCGGTCGTATTTTTCAATTATTCTTTTCTCTAGTCTGTGGTTTTGGTATATCATACTTTTTTCTTGAACAAGTTTGTCTTTCCATGATTAAAGAATTTCACGTGGTTACACTATTCTTTTATAAAGTGATATTGTTTCTGTACATACTTTGTTTTTTCTATTTTTCTGTCGAGATACGACAAGCTTAATTAATATATAAAAAAATTAAGTTCAACCACTACAACAATTTATTATTAATTAAATTTTTTTTAATTTTTTATCTAATTTAATCTAAATTTCACATGAGTCACATACTTAAATGTAATAAATAAGTTTATTACTAAAAATTTTTAACATTTACTAAGATTCACAACTCAAAATCTTATTTAAGTTATACTGAATTATTTATCACTCAGACTAATTTTATTATATTATTTATAATTAAGATGTTAGTGAGCGGTCCCAAATCTTAAAACAGATTTAAGTTTAAAAAATTAATATTATATATATATATAGTTATTATGTTATATTTATTTACTAATTAGTTTTATATTAATATTTTATTATATTTTAGTCTATATTATTATAATATTATCAATAATAAAAGAATTAAAATATAACACAGTAAGAATTAATAAAATATAATCTTTACAAATATATATATATATATATATATATATATTAATTTACAAATTATATAGACAATATATATAAATTTTAACCTATTATAATTTTTCAGAGAATATAAGACTTTAAACTTAGTTAAAAAAAAAAACTTATGATAATAAAATTTAGTTTTCCTAACACACTTAATTTTTTATTAATAAAATTTTTATTTAATTTATATTTTTACCTTTTATTCTACTTTCAGATAAATAAATAAAATTTCAGTGTTAGAATTTTTATAATATTTTTTTAATATGTAACCATCTTAATTATATATATATATATATATATATATATATTTTTTTTTTTTTTTTTGAGATGTAAAGTTATTTCATTATTCAATATCTTAAATGATAATTTTATTACATGAATAAATTCTTAATTTTTCTATCATTATATAAGTAAATCCTTTTACTGTACAGATTCAAAATTTCATTAATTAATTTTTATAATATTTTTTTATCAATTAGATATTTTATCAATGAATAAAATATTAAGACATCTAATATCTTTTTCAATCATAAAAAAGTCTTTATCAAACGTAAATTATTCTTAGTATTTTATTGACTATAGTTATAACTTTTTTAATTAATCTATGTATTCACCAAATTAATAAGTTTTATATCAATCAATATATATTATCTTAAACCATAAATAATGATTTTTGAGATAATATGGATTTGTAGTCTCTTAAAAATTCATTATTCTTTTATTTAATACTTTATTTTAATTTTTTTTCTAAATAAATCTATTAAAATATTTGGTCTTTACAGTACAAAGTCGTTTATAAATTAGTTTCTACATTTAAAAAATTTATATTGTAATTTTTATACGAGTGTTTTGTAACATTTTAATCCTTTCTGCTGTAACATTGTCAATGACAAAAAAATAAATTCCAATAAAATACTTGTATAAAGATTAAAACGTAAGATTTTTATGTATAAGAATTAAAACGTACAATTTTTAAACATAAGAATTAATTTGTAAATAAATATCAACAGAACTAAACATGTAGTTTCTAAAGGTGAAAATGAATCACACTTACTCATAATTGCTAACATAATCGAATTACTAAATGTTCCATTCTAATATACGATTTAAAGAAGATGCATTGTGTAGAGCAAATATTCCGAAAATACATATAAGTAGATGTTTTTACTTTTTACATCGCAATTTCTTTTATTGTACTTTTAATTTCTTTTAAAAATAAGATTATAGATGATATTAGTCACCTTCGAAAATTAAATACTAAAACTCATATCCAGAATTTAATCTAAGTAAATTAATTATCAAGACTAGGTATGAAATAACTAAGCATGACTAATAGTTGAATGCTAGTCTTGTTTGGAATGCTTAGTAATATATAATTGGGGTTACTTTTTTCAGAAGAAGAAAAAGAGTGAAAAATTTAAATAAATAGTCTCTAATTTAATAATTTTAAAAAATAATAAATTAACATAATTTAATGTATAAATCCTTTCTTTATTTTTATTAACAATACATAATTCTCTTAATTTTAAAATAAAATATTATTTTTCTCTCTTTTTCCTTGAAAAATCTAACTCTTAAGTTTGAGAAATATGTCTGCAGCATAAAGGGGAGTTTAGAGTGGCCTAAACTTCTTATACAAGGTGGTATAAGTGTTGTTGCAATAACTTACAGTGCTCTCAGGATTCTCAAAGGATAGTGTTCCTGTTAGAAAAATTCTAATGTCCAAGTCAATAAAAATTTGATTAAGGTAAAGATATAAGATTGTGAGATAAAGTATCTCAGTCAAGAGATTCCTTTCATATATATATATATATACTATAATTATTGAGATACAAAAATGTGTGTAGCATCTGTATAATTTGCATGACGCATCCAATAAAACTAATAATGTATCAATAATGTTAGAGTTATCGGATAGTAGAGAGGCATTTATGTAACAGTTGGTGCTTAGGGTTATACTAAATTTGAGATGGGCCTAACCAATGATTCATTTAAGGTGGATGATAAGTCTATATTTGGGGTGTTGTTTTAGCTTATTTTCTTATAATTGGCTGTATTTAATGAGAAAATTACATTGATTTTGTTATTATTTATTGTAGTTTAACATGAAAAAATTATTAGTGAATTGAGAAACATTTTGGTCACAATTGAATACAATTTAATAGAAAATATGGTTACACACAGTAGGAAGCATGATCTTGTTTAACAGTCATTTTGAAAGTGTTTCGTGACCATGCAAAATTGTACTAGAGGATATACATGGTCGTGCTTCTTTTTTTTGTGTAACTGATTTAGAGAATTTTTAGGGATAAAAAACCTCTTTTGTAAGGACAATTAGGGCTTGCAACCGACGGCTGAGTATGAATTTCTTTACAACTGTTTTTCCCTTTTTATTTCATGACGAGTACTTAAATTCATAACTAGAGTTATGATGGATCATTTGCATAATTTATGTGATTTTGTAGTTTAAGGGTAATTGTGACTTCCCTTTTATATTGGTTTTGCTCTAATGTGCTTACATTTATATGTTTGAATTGATCACTCTTACAAATCATAATTATTGCATTGTAGGCGACTATACCACCTTTTGTTAATTGAACCATAGGATAAAATGGGCCAAACAATTAAATGAACCAAACTTTATTTTTCTCTTTCAATTAGTTATTAAATTAACAAACTCATAAACTTTTTATATTTTTTTCTCTTTCTGTCTTGCATGACCATCAAGATAATAGATTATAAAAAAATATTAATATTGTATGATTATTAAGTATTAGTAATTTTAGTACAGTTATTGACGATGATTATAGAGAAACTAGAATTTAAGTTACACTAAAAGTGAACAATGGAGAAGTACAACATAAATAATAAATTGATCACAAATTTGTTTATTTTGTTTTATATCTTTATTGTGTTGTGAAATATGGCAGTTAGGGGTGGGTGAAGGTTTGTGACTTTAAGGATTGTGTTGGGGGGAGGTTAAAGTTGTTCTAGCTTTACATCGAGTTAGCTAATAGAAGTAAGGTGTCCTTGAAAAAGAAGTTTTTAAGATTGTTCCTACTCTAGCTCTAGTTCCATTTTGGAAGGATCGAAATAACATATGCCCTTGACTTTATATTTATTGGAGCAATAAACATTTTTATTTTTAGACTAAAGATTATTTTGTTCAAAAAGTTGATTAGTCCTTTAGATAAGGATTTTCTCAGTCGACTTCTGAGCTTAGTGGATTCCATTGGAAAACCTTTCCCTTGTAATAAAACTAGCTACCAAGACAATTCAGTGGCAAGACAGCTCAGTGCCATATGGAGAATAGTTAGTTACAAAATTAACTGTTCTAGTTATTTTGTTGTGAGTTTTATTTTTCTGTGCTATGTGTAATTAGTAGTAACATTATATCAAGCTGACCATATAAATTCCTATTGTATTTGTTTCTATGATTTTGATTTTTTTTCGATAAACTTCAATTAACAAATATATTCAATTTTCTCTCTAAATCTTTTATGGTACCAAAGCTCCTAAACTTCAGAGCTTGATTCTTTCCTCTCTAACGACAATGATCTCAATCCTACAGAAGATCCTACAAGTCTCTATCACATCCATCCAAGTGAAAATCCTTCAATTTCTCTGGTTTCATCGGTTCTCAATGAAAACAATTATCACATATGGTCATGATTGATGAAGAGAATGCTGATTTCGAAAAACAAGTTCAAATTTGTCAATGATTCAAGTATGATGCCTACAAGTTTCGAGCCTATGTTTGAGTCGTGGGAGAGATGTAATAATCTTGTTCATTTCACTGAGTTTCAACATCAATTGTACAAAGCATAGTGTACATTGATCTGTCATCCGAGGTGTGGAAAGATTTCAAAGAACGATTTGCACAGGGAGATATGATTAGAATTTTAGAATTGCAACAAGAAATTTTCACTTTAAAGCCAGGAACTTTGAATGTTACAGAATTGAAGACTCTTTGGGAAGAATTGGAATAGGTCTCTCTACATATACACTGTGAAGTGTTCCTATTTGACTATGCAGAATGCTAAGCTCTACAAAGAACAAGACAAGGTAATTCGGTTTTCTGACTGGACTGAATGATGACTACTCATCCATCAGATCTCAGATTTTGGTCATTGATTCCCTACCTTCATTAAATAAAGCTTTTCAATGATACTGCAACATGAAAGACATAATTGTCTTGGTTCCTTCGAAGAAATGAAAGTCAATGTTAATCATGCTGATGGTCGAAGAGGAGGATATGGCAGCTATGGCAAAGGCAGAGGAAAATAAAAAATGTGCACCTACTGGGGCAGAGAAGGACACACTACTAATATGTGTTACAAGAAACATGGTTATCCATCAACCATGAAGGAGAAGAACTTGAATGTTTCTACTGCCAATAATGTCAGCAGTAGAAATGAGGAAGATGCATGGAAGGCAATCTATAGGAGGCTGAAACTAGAGATAACTTTTTCACAGAGGAACAATACAAAGGCTTACTCAACCTGCTGAAATAGACTGAACTTGGGAACACATCACAAAATACTAATCAAGTATCAATTTGGAAGAACAATGAACCTTCAGGTGCCAAATCAAACAATACAGGTATCTATCTTAATGATCAACATTTTGCTTAAGCTTGAATTCTAGATTCAGGAGCCTCAGATCACATATGTAGTTCACTGAGTTTATTCATTTCTCACAAAGCAATTGATCCTTTAGAGGTCAAGTTGCCAAATGGTACTGTGACTAAAGCCACACTTATAGGCACTATACAATTCTCATGCAAGGATCCCTTTTCCTTCACAAAGCCCTATTCAGACCTTCTAACATATAGAAGATTGATTGGCAAGTTGATATATCTCACCAATACTATACCCGACATAATGTATGTTACACAATAGCTTAGTCAATTTATGCATGCTCCTACACATGGACACTATACAGCTGCCACACAAGTGCTCCGATACCTCAAGAATTCTCAGGCCTAGGCATATTTTTGCCTAGAGATTCATCACTGCAAATACTTGGATTCAGTGATTCTGACTGGGCAAGGTGTCCAAATAGCCGTAGGTCAGTGTCTGGGTATTGCTTTCAACTTGGAAAGTCTCTAATAAGCTGGAAATTGAAGAAGCAATCCACAGTTTTGCAAATCTTCCACAAAAGCTTAATATAGGGCCCTAGGTGATGCTACTTCAGAGTTTCTTTGGCTCACCTATATCTTATATGATCTCAATATCAAATGTGATAAGTTTGCTACCTTATTCTGTGACAACTAAAGTGCAAGACACTTGGCTACAAATCCAGTGTTCCATGAAAGAACCAAGCATCTTGAGATAGATTGCCACTTCATAAGAGAGAAGTTTTTCAATGGTGTATGCAAATTGCTCCTGTATCATCCAGCAACCAATCGGTTGACATTCTCACTAAGCCTTTGCCTCCTAATACTTTTTCTCTGCATTATCCAATACAAGCTTGGTATGGTTGATGTCTACCACGCATCAACTTATGTGAGGGTAATAGAACTAACTACCAAGACAACTCAGTAGCAAGACAGCTCACTGTCATGAGATAAATAGTTAGTTAGAAAATTAACTGTTCTAATTATTCTATTGTGAGTTTTATTCCCATGTGCTATGTGTAATTAGCAGTAACTTTACATGAGGCTGGCCATATAAATTCTTATTGTATTAGTTTCTATAATTTTGATTTTTTTTGTAAACTTCAATCAACAAGTATATTCAGTTTTCTCTCTGAATCTTTTACCTTGTAAGGTTCTATTAGATATTCCCGAAGAATTGGATCTAACCTCGGAAGCTGCTAAGGGTTTCTTGTTGCTAGCTGGAATGGTAGATCGTTTCCCTATTTTTGGGTTGGACGTTTTTCTCTAAAGCTTCATCCATTTTAATGCTTATTCAATTCGTGTTTGGCAACACTTGAAGCTAGATAGACATCCAGAATTCTATACGGCAAATGTTTGGATTGGTTGGTCAACAATCTTAAAGGACCAATGGTGTCCTGTTTGCAACAACCATCTGGATCCTATGGAAAGCTAGAAATGCATCTATATTTGGAGATCAACTTTGAGACCTTTGATGAACTATTAGTCACATCCACATTCTTTTAGCAGATGTCGAGAAAGTATATAACCGGCATCAACGACAAAGTTGTTAGGTTAGATGAGAAGCACTTACATCTCCAGCGATCAAAATCAACATTGATGGCAACCACTTTGGTAACCCAAGGAGAGTAGGTTTTGGAGGTTTGTTTCGAGATCATATGGGGAATTGGATTACTGGATTGATTGCTCTTTTTCATGCTTTTGATAAAGCTTGGAATGATAGTTATCAGATTATTTTGTGTGATACTGATTGTACCATGGCGTTAGAGTTGACTCAATTGCGTGGATCAATTTCATCCTTGCTTTCCCTTAGTCATTGAAATTAGGAAACTTTTACAGTTAACCTGGACTGCACCTTAGCTAATTTGTTATGGATGCTATGGGGATGTTGCACTTGAGGCTACGGTTTCTTGCTCTTTGTAATTCCCACTCATAAAAAATAATATAGAAATAAAATTAAGATTCATTGACAACAAATATCAAATTTAAACACTTACATTTAATAACTTTTTATAGAATTTAAAGTTGATCAATTTAAACTTTGAATCATGTTATATTATGTGGATGATTATGTATATCAAATTTTACATAATTTAAACTTTTGTAAGTATATTAATTAAAATTTGATATTTACTTATATTTTGTTTTATAATTTTATAAAGCTAATTTATTTGACAAGAACTTTCAAATAGTTGAATCAATTTAATATTGTCTAAAAAATTATTAAGTGGTGTAAGTGTATAAATTTTATAACTAATATCAACAAATCATAATATATATATATATATGGTTTCATATTCACTAAGAATGAATAATAATATAGATACAATGATCATAGTTGCATAAATTAGAATACAAAATTAAAGAAAAAAAAAATGTTGTTTAAAGAAAGTGTAAGACTTTCTATTCCTTCTCAAGAATTGATATAAAAAATATACAATTCTCTAAAATTATGACCATGTGTCATAAGACGCATTTATAGAGAAAAGGAAGAGAGGATCTTTATGAAGGTTGCAATAGTTCATACCATACCCATTCATAAAGAATTGTAATAGTTTTACCCATCATGAATTGAATACAACTATAGATTCTGATATGATATCCAATATTTATCAATTACAAAACAGATACCCCAGAATAGATAGCTTTCTACCAAGAGTTTTATTTAAATCAATAAAAAACCAATCATGAACAATTCTAACAAGAGAACTCCATTAAATTTAGTTTTATACCTTAAACATATACTCCTTTCATTCTTAAATGTGACTTTTGCTAAAAAAATATTTATTATTTTTTTCTAACTTTGTCACTCTCCTAAACTATTACTTGGTACTCATGATTCAACTTCTGTATTTTAGAAAATAGAAAACAAAATGAAAACAAAGTGATAGTTTTGTAATTCAAAATAAAAACAGAAAACATTTTCAGAAACCAAACCGGCTCTAATTTTGGATTACATGGAACTGTATTCGCTGAAGTAATCTAACTTTAGAATATGTCCCTGTTATGCCTGAAATAATAAACATGTTATAAGGAAAGGAAACAAAAGTATAACGTTATATTAATTATAATATTAGATTATATAAATAACTGTGCCACAAAAAAATTGCAGTAATTTGCATTTAGTTTACATATAAAGCATATAAATAGCATTATAGTTAACCTGCCTTTTGGCCAAACAGATGTGAAAGTTTTGATAGTTAAGACACAGTATATATGGAAGTATATTTTATTCTAATCTTATCAAGATAAAGTACAAACTTCCTTCAGAAGTAAAAAAGTTGATAACATTAGAAAAGACCGAGGTCCACATCCAGTGAAGGGGAACGAAAACCCAAGGCTCCATGGCCTGAAGCCAACAAAAAAATGTGCCAAAGTGCTTAAAAAGCCAACACTAGGGCAATGTTTGCTGACAAGGAGGTAAAAAACCTTGAGCTAAGAAACTCAGGTTACATCCTCCCAAATGACCATAATGAGCCAAAGGAGAGATTCCCCATTCAACCTGGAAAAAGGAGTATAGTGAGAAAAATTAAAAAGGTCCACACATTTTTCTGTGTCACTGACTTAAATTACAACAACTTTTTCTACATAGTATATGCTTGCACTTCTTTTCCTTCAATGGCCCCGCCTCATGAATAATATTGGAGAATTAGGATGATGCTGAAGAGGATGATTCTTTGAGGTTGGTTTTGATTCATTTTCAGATCCTGAGTCAAACCTTATCTGTATTCAAAGAACAATGATATATGTTATATATTAAGTACCAATAAAACACTATATCTATATTCAGATTGAAGAAAGAACGCAAACTTCTTATAAGTTACAAGCCACTATTTGCCACATCACAATAAGTGTACCACCAACTATTTGCATTCACATAGTTGACATTGATTCTGTTTGCTATATAACATCCATTTCCTCACTTTTTCCATTCCCGATTATGTTTTTGCTTTTTCCAAATTGACAAGATTTATATGTTCGATGTTATGCAGTTTTATGATAAAGATTGTGTTCATGTCTCCCTGTCATAACATAGGTAGCAAGAGCAATACTCCTGATTCACAGGACGAACCTCATATTTTTTTAGCAAAGATGCCAACGATGAGGCAACAAGTTGGATAATAAATTTCTGCCCAACACAAGCACGTGTACCAGATCCAAAAGGAAGAAATGCTGCATTTTCATTTGGATCATTTAGTACAAATGTGTCAAATCCTGTGACAGAAGGTTCTTCGATGGCTCCTGAAAAAGTTACAATATCAAATAATTAGTGACAGATGAGCAACAAAATCTCCCCTACCACTTATAGAGGACATATCAGAAAAGTTTTGATGAAAAGGGGTTGAATTCTATATTTGCCAAACTAGTCACTTTTCATCCCAAAGTATGCAATCTTTTTCTTTTCAACATGTCCCCAACTACATGGAAAAAAAAAAAAAAAAACTAGGAACGGTGAGCTGACAAAAGCCACTCAAACAGAGACCTAAAACAACTTCTACATCATAGTGGATAAGCTTGAATTAAGAAACACATGCATTAACAACGGAAAATATCATCATTTTCTATCTCCATACATAGTATAGAAGAACACACACCAATATAATTTCTACAGACCAGGAATTGGTACTTGCAAAACAATTTTTATTTAATCGGCATTTTTTTTTCCATTAAAGCCTGGGTGGGTTGTGTTCAGCCCATAGCAGCCAGCATAAAACTTATCAAAACTCATACATTGATTAATGATGACATGTATGATGCGATGCTATAAGTGAGAATTCTGAGAAACATGACTAATAACTTTCTTATACGTCTTGTTTACATCATGACTAAACCTTGAGTTTAATAATGACAGAGATTATGACAGTCTTGATTGAGGAATCAAGGGAAAAGGTTAACTTTGAACTTAGAATTTTGGAGACAAACATTGGAATCAAAGAGTTTTAGCTTGAGTAGGAACAAAACAAAATATATGCATTACAAGTTTAGTAAGTAATGAAATGAAAATGATTTGGAAGTTAAAATTAGATATGACATTAAGAGTTATTTATAATTACAAAGTACCTACCAAGATAAAAAAAAAAAAAAAAAAAAGTTTATCAAACTATAAAGGAACTAAATGAAAAAACTGTAGGGTAAGTAATTGTTGGGCTTTAAAGGAACTAAATGAAAAAAAAAAAAAAAAAAAAAAAAAGGAGTGGAGGTAATATAAATGAAAATATTAAGATGGAAGTGTGACCACATGAAGAAAGACAATATAACAAATGATTATACACAAGTCGAGATTCAGGTAACACATATTTAGGAGAATTTAACAAAAAATCGGCTAAGGTGGTTTAGACAAGCAAAAAGGGCCACTAGAAGCACTAGTGAAAAGGGTTGATTGTATGATTTTAGCCTCATGAAAAGAGTAAAAAAAAGAACAAGAACCCTGGACGAAATCATTAAAAGGTATCTCAAGATAAATAATATTTTTAAAAATTTAGTAATTGACTAAACTCAATAACATCATGTGATCCATATAACAGATCTCTTCGAGTGGTATAGATTTTGCTGTTATTGTATTTGTATTTTTTATAGTCAGGCAAAATTGAATGCTAACACATTGTCTTCCACTTCTCTCTCAACCTCTGCTCAGCTACTAATAGCAATAAGCTCATAATGAAAAGAGTATATTATATGAAAAGGAAGAGTGGGCCAGTTAATGTTAAGGGTCAACCTAGAGAAACAATCAGTTAGCTCAAAATTAGGAAGCAGTTAGGAGGTAGTTACAAGGGATGGTTGTTATAAAGGTACTGAGTGCTAGGAGAATTCAGGTGTCTTTTTGGAAGTGAAAAAGTTTGTGTAGGAGAATTATCAGTATCCTGAATATTTCTGGCATAGTAAGATAACAGTCTGCACTTACATTGGGTACAGAACTGTGTTCATTCTTAGTAATGCAATTCAATCATTTTTTCTCTTTTCTTGCTGTACCAGTTCTAACACTGCATCAGAGCTCCAATCTGGTTTAGAGGCAAGATTTTGATTCTTGATTTCAACACTTAACGCTTGATTTCGAGTTGGAGTGTTTGTGATCTAAAGTCACCCAAGGAGTTATGTTGTGCAAGATTCTTGAAAGAAAACAGGTTCTTATTTAGAAAATTCTTGTTCTGCAATTGGGTGAAGAAAGAAGATGGTTTTGAAGGAGTTTGAGACACAATTTGATGAAATGCAATGAGAAACTAAGGAGCAACTGAATTTGATAGAACAATCCATTGCAGCACTCAAGGAAATGATGGAAAAGATGATGGAACACAACATGAAAGATGACCCAAGTCTTGGAAATGTTTTATAACAGAAAAGACAAAGATGCGAATTTTGACAAAAGTTGGTTACCAAGGCACCCAAGTTTCCTTTTCCACCTTTTGATGGGATTGGGTACAAAGAATGGAGAGCCAAATGTGAGCACTACTTTGCATTAGAAGATGTATGTGAAACTCAGAAATCTAAACTTCTAATGATGACTATGGAGGGGAAGGCTTTTGCATGGCCACAACATTCCACTGTACAGTGTACAGAGAAATAAAGAAAATTGAATTGGAGACAAATTCTTTATGATGTGATCCTTAGTCACAGAATACAAGTTGGGTGGTTAAACTGGAAAAAACCAGCAGAAGTTATTTGTGATTATAAAATATCTATCAAACTAAAAGAAAAGTTTTATCGTACTGCAGTGCGACTAGCTATCCTATATGGTAGTAAATGTTGAGCCTTAAAGGAACAACATAAAAAAAAAAGGTGAGAGAGAGAGAAATGAAAATGTTTAAGGTGAATGAGTGGACACATGAGAAATGACAAGATACAAAATGATAATACACGAGAGAATATTGGAGTAGCACCTATAGTGAAAAAGATGATTGAAAATTATTTAAGGTGATTTAGGCATATGCAGAAAGACCTTTGGTGGTGTCAGTAAGGAGAGTGGATTGCATGACTTTTAGTCCGACAAAGAGAGAACGAGGGAGACCCAAAAAATGATTAACCAAATTTCTAAAAATTTATTTTTTGACCGAGCTCAATGATGTTGTGTGATCCATGCAACTGACTTCACCTAGCGAGATAAGGCTTAGTAGTTGTTGTTATGGGTTGTAGGCTTGATGAGGGTAACTACATTGATCCTTTATCAGAATTAACAAGATTGAAGCAAACAAACACTTTGGGAGAGTATTTGGAGGCCTTTGATGAATTGTTGGCGAGAGTGGAGTCAGTGGCTTTAAGCATATTTTTAGCAGGTCTGTGCAGTCCTTTAGAGATAGTTAAGCTACATGGATTCCCCTCTTCTATTGTGATAGATAGGGATCAATTATTTCTCAACCATTTTTGGGCTGCATTATTTAAATAGGCTGGGACAAAGTTGAAGTACAGCATTGGCTACCATCTGCAGACATATGGCAAACAAAAGTTGTCAACCAATGTTTGGAAGCATACTTGTTCTGTTTTTCAGGCACCAATCCCAAACAATGGCCTTTTGGTTTGGCTTAGGCAGAATATTGGTACAACACCAATTATAACAGCTCAACAAAAATGACACATTTTTAGGCACTAAATGGTAGAGATTCACCTCTTCTTTCTAGATGTGACACTTTTCCCTCTGAAATAGAAGCAGTCAATCAACTTGCACAAGATAAGGATGAAATGCTGCAATAGTTAAAGCAGAAATTGGAGACAGCACAGAAATGGATGAAATCACAGGAAGATAAGAAAAGGAGAGAAGTGAAATTCCAGGTGTGAGATTGGGTATACTTGAAGAAACACCCTTATAAGATGAAGTCCTTGGCTAGAAAATGCAATGAAAAGTTAGTGCCATGATTTTGCAGTCCTTATCAAGTCCTACAGAAGGTAGGTACAATAGCTTATTGTTTACAGCTACCTGATTATAGCAGAATTCATCCAGTTTTCCATGTATGCCTTTTAAAGAAAGTGTCTTGGACCTAGCTACACCGCATTCCTTACCAAAAGAGCTAACTGCAGAATGGGAGTTACAACCCCATCCACAAGACATCTTAGGATGGCAGTATAATGATAAAGAGGATCCTGAAGTTTTGATCAAATGGAAAGGTATAGCAGAATGTGAAGATTCTTGGGCGCAACTTATTCTTTTGCAGTCTCAATTTCCATATTTTCACCTTGAGGACAAGGTGAAAGCTTTGGGGGAAAGTTTTGATAGCAATAAGCCCATAATGAAAAGAGTATATTATAGGAAAAGGAAGAGTGAGCTAGTTAATATTAAGGCCCAACCTAGAGAAACGATCAGTTAGCTCATAATTAGGAAGCAGTTAGGAGGAAGTTACAAGGGATGGCTGTTATAAAGGTCATAGTTAGGAGAATTGAGGTGTCTTTTTGGAAGTGAAAAAGTTTGTGTAGGAGAGTTGCCAAGATCACTCAAGCATTTCTGGCATTGAATGATAACAGTCTACACTTACATGGGGTGCAGAACTATGTTAATTCTTAGTAATACAATTCAGTCATTTTTTCTCTTTCCTTGCTGTACCAGTTCTAACAGCTACCCACCCCCACACCTATGAATCTGATTCAACAATTTCCAGCCTTTGGTTATGATACGTCCACACTCAGCATCCCTTCTGTTGTTTAGTTTGTGCCTTGTGGGGATATATGGAAAGGTAAATTTTGAAAGGTTCAAAAGAGACAAAGTCGTTGATGAATTTGCTTTCATAGAACCACCGTGTGTTTGACGGGGTAAGGTTAGGGTGTTAGACACGAGCCCATGTTTTTGAACCTTAGATGTTTCAGTCTAACTTTTTGTTATAGAATATTTCAACATATATAATTATGTTCCTCTCTCTCTCTCACTCTCTCTCTCTCTCTCACACACACACACACTGTGTTGTGTGTGTTTCTCTTTTCATCTTTTTTTCTTGTTTTTTCTCTGAATCTTTATTCCTGATATACAAATTATGGTTTTGAAGCATCAAGACTCATACCTAATCCCTTTGTACCAGTTGAGAGAAATCGGTATGGATTAAAATCACTTGCATCACTTCCCCAACTGGAGTCATCCTTCTGTACCAATTCAACAGGTACAACCAATACAGCCCCAGCAGGTATTGTTACACCAGTTGCAAAGCTCAAATCTGACAAAAAAATGAACATTAATGAAAACAAATACAAGCAGCAGTTTAGATAGAAATGTTTAAAGGCAATCCTGAAAATTTTAACACATCATGCATGCACATCATACCAGGCATTTCAATGAAATGTCGGAAATAGAATATTTGAATTTAATTTTTGTATTTTTAAATCATGCATAAAACTACTAATAATGACTTATCAAGCGGTAGTAGAGATGAGATACAAGCTCCTAACTGTTCTCCCTCAAACAATGTTAGTGCGTAACAAAGTAGTAATGCACAAATAAGAACATGTATGTAGTGCCTAAACTAAACAGAAAACCATAAAAGATTATAAATCGACTAGTTTTTCTACACCAGAAGCTCTGGCTTAAATAAATAATTGCATACTGTACAGTACTCTTGCTTCAGAGCAATATCTCACCATGCTTCAAAGAACACCTATGCAGCATGGGACCAGAGGGAAGAAGACGTGCAGATTCATATACTGTAGCCAATAACAAAGGCATCCTATAAACATCTTCATGCTCATATTTCGATGGGTTTCTCATTATCATGTTAATCTCTGAATAAACCTGAAAAAGCACGTGAAAATAAATAACTGCCAACACCTTGCGAATATCAAGAATATGCTCAATCAACTAAGAAAATGCAGCATTTGTTGTTGAAAATCATGCAGTAAACAACCCTTGAGCATATAAATGAAATCCTAGTCTAACAGAAATATGGTTTTTCTTCAAAAAGATAATAGAATAACTGTTTGTTAAACGTGCAACAATCTGTTTAAGAAATTTCATCTCAACACAATTAAATTTAATATTTTCCATGGCTAAAACAGACGGACATAGAAGAAAGAGCCACAAACAGATGCCAAATAAGAGGTAAAGTGCAAGTGAAGACAGGAACGAAGACAGGAAAAACAGATTGAAACCTTATCCTGTATTTCTGGATGCATGACAAGCCTAGTTAATACATTCGCAATTAAAGCAGCTGTAGTTTGACATCCATGAAACATCACACGCATGATGTTCCCACAAGATTCCTCTTTAACACCTTGATGATTGTTAAGGTCACGAAAGAAATAGGAATTTTGGAATTCATCATCAGAACAGCATTGTGCACCATGTGCTGACTTCATTTCTTTGTTGGAACTGTTGTTATGTACTTCTTGGTCCATATGACCAAATAATTTACAGCCTTTTCTGCAATGTTGAAGGATGTCTTGAGTTAAGCATTTCAAATTTTTGCATAAACATTGATACCTCCAAAATCCACGTATCCAGAAAGGAGTAACATTATAGGAGGCCCAAAAGCAAGCATCTTTAGCAATCATCATAAGCAGTTCCTCATACATTGCAGCCTTTGGCCAGGCCAAGAAACCATCTCCAAAGAATGCGGATCCCATTATGGTGAAAGCCATGTGTTGAGAAACCAACCTAGAATCAATACTTCCTTTGGTTTTCATATTTTCTATTTTATCTGTGAGAAAGTCTGCAACCTTTGTAGGTATCATATCAGCAATCTTCACCAATCTTTCATTCAATTCTGTTGCCAACAATTCCCTTCTCGTTTGCACCTAAAGACAATTTAAATTAAATTCCAAGTTGCTATAGTCAGAATGAGAATACATAAAACGACATGATCTATGATATCAGAAGACAACACTTGAGATGCTTAATGAAAACATATTATGCAAGAACAAAAGAGTAGTTTGATCAGAACTCAAAAGGTCTTAAAACCGAAAGAGCATTTTAATATTGCAGAACAAATCACATAATTCATCTCATAACTCCAATTAGAAATATTACAGTTCACATGTCACCTTCTCAAAGGAAGGGGAAAAGAGGCTTGATTGCCCAAAGGCCAGATGAAATGCTTTTTCAGTAAAAGGTAACTTATCCTCAGCCTTTATAAGCATCTCCTGAATCAGCATTGGATCCTTAACTGACACCAGAAGCTGAATGGGACCTAACCAGAGCTTAATAATTGGTCCATACTTCTCATGGGATTTTGACAGAACATCTGGAAATCAAAGGGCCAAGTATATAATTAGTCAAAAGATTCTGATCAGGCTATAATTTCATTCATTACTCAAAACCAAAGGAAAAAATAATACTATACATGCAAAAGAAGCCAAGTTTGACATTATTCAACAAAAAACTTTAATCCATATTCAACAAGAAATACAGGTGCAAAATAAAAGATTGGTATTAAATATCTCAATCATCAAATCAAAAAGGAAAGAAAGAAACCGATATTAACTATTCTTTGAACTCTAATGCCATCTTTTACTTTAGTAATGACTTCCTAATTCCTACTAACAAAAGGGTGATGATGCATGCATCAGAAATATTATGTAAATTCTGTTAAACAACCAAAAGGAAGCAAATGAACAAATTCTTCTTCTCTTTCCATATATAACACGATCCATCAACCCTACCAACTCGTAACCAAAAAGGCATGAACTTCACAATATTCAACGAACCATTTTGATCCACAACAAATTCCCGAAAGAGCAACAACAGAAAACTGATATCAACTTCCAAACAGATCACATACCAGCACAACACAAGACCCCATATAAGCAAACCGCCCAATAAGTTGCAAAATCAAGCTTTACAGGCTAAACCCAAAAAACTGATTCAGAAAATAACCATTTTTCATTGAGCCTCCAAATCCAAGTATCCTACCCTTCATATGATTCCCGATTCAAATTTAATATCGATTCAACAACCTTGACCAAGATTAATAGACCAAACCCAAAATTCTCTTCACAAGTTCCGTATAACACTCACAGAAAAAAAAAAAAGTGATTCTGGAAATAACTGCAAATTCAACCAATTCACGGGGCAGTAAAAAAAAGAAAGAAAAGTGACCAGTGAGACTATCGGTGCAAAAGAGCTTGCAGTGGCCAAAGAAAGAGGGAGAGGGAGGTCCAGGAATGGTTTTAGCTCTGTGCCACAAACTAAAGAGGCTGAAGAGTCTTCTAAGCAAAAGGGTGGTGATAACAACGAGAAAGAGCCAAAGAAAGGCATTGAATTCTCGTGTTGCAAAGTCTCTGAGAAGTTGAGAAGGAGTGTGGATCACACAATTAGAAGAGTGATGAAGAAGAAGAAGACCCAAGAAGGTTGTGGGCAGAGAAGACTCAATAGCACATGAAGCGTTACTCATTTTCTCATCCAATGAGTGAATGAATGATGATGGAGTTCCTGTTTGCTCTGACTTCTTGTTAGTGGTTCTCTCACGGGGTCACGGACACAACCATACGACGACGTTTGTGTCTGTTGGAATATGGTCGTGTCACGTTCTTATGGCGATCATCAGAATATTGGGGTGGTGATGCGAGCAACCACGTGGCCCAAAATCGATGCCTCGACTATCATCAGTTTCGTGATGTGACCCACACGTACCAAAAGGTTTAATAAATAAATATATATATAAATTTAATAATTTTTAATAATTTTTTTATTTAATTTATATTTAATAATTATTAAATAATAAATTATAACAATAAAATTTTTTGATTAAGTATAAAATTTTTAGACTTATATTAATATAAATATATATATTATTTTTAATAAAAAATTTAATATATTTATTAAAAAGGTTAATTAAGATTTTCTTCTTTCTAGAATTTTTTTAAAAAATAAAATAAAATAAATTACATATTACATGTAATTCTTAAAATTAATTGGTTTACATGTATTTTATATAATAAAAATTAAATTTAAATATAATTAACTTTGAATGAAAGAGATTGTCTAACAAATCAATAACTTTAATTTAAGTACTGAAGTTTATTATAATTTTTTTTTTACGAATACACATTATTTATTATAATTTTTTATTAGCGAGATGGAAGAGACTTCAACAAATTATTTATATGTAAGTAGATAAGATAAATTTTTTATCAACAATTTTCAATAAATCACATAATGACTTAGAATAGATTTAGTATTACTAAAACTCGCATACTTCATCATGTTAATATTGAACTCTTAAAGCAACTTAAAGGCATTTTTAATTATCTTTTGGAGTTCTATTTCATTTGTCTTATAAAAATCAATGTTTAAGAAGATGTCGTTTCACCTTACAAAGTAGAATTACATGACTGAATTGTAGAACTTTATTATTTGAAGGTGGGAATAGAAATAGGATAAGATAGGCAAGACTTTACATAAATAGGTTTAAATCTATTTAATAATTTTAAAATTTAAGTTTAGCTTATTATCTGTCATAAACTTTTAGACATTGGCCTATTAACCTTTTTAATGACCTATTTCATACTGAGACCTTCAATAGGTCATTAAATACCACTGCATAGTAGAGCAAGCTCATATTCTTGAAGGGAAAAGGGTGATAAAAGATGTAACTATTGATTGTAATATTTATATTGTAAAACCTAATCATAAAGCTTATATCTAAATAAATTATAAAAAAATAGTTCACTAAATTCACTAGAATTTGGTATTTCAAGAAACGTTTTATTAATTATTGGATCTGTTAAAGTTTTGAGATTTTGAGAAATTTTGAAAATATGAGCATTAGTAAGTGAATTTCGGGGACGAAATGCCTAAAAGGATGGAAGAATTGTAACACCCTTAATTTTGTTACTCTTGGATAGGAAAAATAGGAATTTGAATAAAAGATATCTCGCTCAAGCGACGTAAGATTTCCTAAAAGGAGAATGTTCTAGAACTTTCTCGCTCCAGTGAAATGAGATAATGTTGCCCCAACTGTCCTCTCACACAGGCGAGAAAAGGGTCTCACTCAGGCTGGGAGTAGCTCGCTCAAGCGAGATAAAGCTCGCTCAGGCGAGGAGTCATAGGAAAGATAGGGTACCCTCTGGACTCAATCTCGCTCAAGGAAGATAGATCTCACTCAGGCGAGATTGTATCTCGCTCAAGCGAGAGTGTTACTGCTCAAGCCAGAATATCAGAAAAATTAATAGTCTCGCTGTCTAGTTGTCTCGCTAAGGCAAGGATGGAAGCTCACTCAAGTGAGAATCTTATCACTCAAGCGAGATCGCACGAGTTTAGAAGGATATTTAAGGAACCTCAGCCTCAAAAACATTTATTTCTCACCAAACGATTTTCTCTCTTCATTTTCTCTGTTTTCTCTCCTTCCTCTCTCTAAAGAGAACTCTCTTGGAATCTCTTCCAGATCTGAGCTCAAACATCCATTTCATTCAGATCTAAGTAAGTTTCTTAGAGCTCATATCTCTATTTTATTCCTTTTCTTCGGTTTTCTTCTCATAATAAGACATCTATCTTAAAACACTTAGGAAACTTCATCTTTCAGACGATATTCTCATTGATATCATGGAACCTCTTTGTAGATCTCTCGGAACCGTTACCAAGTAAGGGGAGTATTCTCGAGCTTTAGTTTTATATAGATATATAGAGATCTTAGAAGAATCTGAATAACCTATTTTTGTAATAATCTATAATTTTTATGAAATCATATGTGAAAAATGTATTTTTAGTATAAAGAAAGGTTTTGGATTTATTTGAAACTAATGAAATCAGATTCCTAGAAAAAGATATGGGCTAGAATAACATTAAGAAGTTTTAGAACTAAGCTACTTAAAATGTATGTGAGTTAAGTAATAAAGGACACAAAATAATGAACTTTAGGTTAGAAGACCATATTGAGATTGTACAAGTTGGACTGAGTCCAAATCTGTTCGACCTTCGGCATATTGTTTGATTGTATGCTGTGAGATTTATGATAATTTCTGTGCTAGATTGATATAGTGTACTGATTGTATGGTGTGATGTTGTGTGATAACTTTCTTAGTAGACTAGTATGATGCAATAAGTATATATATATACATATATATATATATATATATACACATGTGTATATATATATATATATATATATATATATATATATATATGAATTGATAGCTGGAATGTATTCAAATTGAGTGAATTCACATGAATAATTGAAGTGTTGATTCTGAAAGTATGTGATATATGAAAGAGAAAGAATGAGATGCATGATTATGATGAACTTGAAAAGGGTGATTACAATATATATTATAGCATATTAAAGGGTGTATTATAATATATATTGTGATCCATGAATTTATATAAATCATAACTCACATATTATAACATATTGATCGATAAAAAGAATATGAAAATGAGAAATGTTGAGAAATAGAAAGGGAATAAGTATAGATAGTATAGAGATACACTTGGGGTATAGATTCCGGAGAAGATTTAGAAAATCTTGAAGAAATGAGGATTGTGAATGTTAACGATAAAAGAGTGCACAATAATTTGCTAAAAAATAGACATTCACAGGCCATACTCTTATTTCTTAACGAAACTCCTGACTATACCTTTGCTTAAAGGAGCCAGGGCGGCACACGTGTATATGTGATATTGTGGCTAATCAGCAGCTATCTATGTTATGAAATCTTCAAGGGATCATAGGGGCAATTATTAAGAAAGTGTTATATGTAACGTCCCTAATTTTGTAATATTAATTATTATTATTTATATAAATATATATATATATATATACATATATATATATATGTGTGTGTGTGTGTGTGTGTGTGTGTGTGTGTGTGTGTATTTTGGATATATATTGTATCCATGACTGGATAAGCCGAAAATAGGCTAAGTGCCTAAGTGCAGGGTGTAATACTGGGCTATTCTCTCTGCAGCGAGAGGGTCTCGCTGTACATGGTCATGTACTTTGACCGTGTGCATCTCTGGTTTTGATGATGTGCTTAATCCCTACCCCTAACAACACCATCACCACCCCTAACATCAACATCCCCACCCCCAACATCAGCATCTCCACCTCCAACATCCATGAAGCACCAAAATTTTTAAAGAGGCTAATCCTCTATTATTTGATTAGATGAATCAAGTCATTTCTACATATCTAAATAAAGGGTCAACTCTACCACCTTTATCAACTGCACCAAGTCAACCAACTAGATCTGAATGAAAATTGTATTTTTTTGGGAACCATTTTGGGAGAGGGAATAGTACTTTATGTTATATTGTCTTAGAAACAATGTGTAGTAGCTTATTTAAGTTAGTATTCATGTGAATGGGTACCTTTTTATGAACCACTTTCTATACCTTTTGATTACATTAAACAATGTGCAGCATAAATCTTATGTCATTGAACCAAATTTAATAGGCTGAACAAAATAAAAAATACAGTGAACAGAGTCATGAGCATAAATCTTATGTCATTGAATTCATTCAACCATATTCAAAACAACTTTCACTTCATTAAATTACAAACTGTCAACATTTAAAACTTTCATACCACAATATTCATTGCTACTACAATACCTACAATGGTAATGAAAAACTAAAGCACAATCACTAAATATCCTAAAATCTTCACCCTATTCCTCTCAATAGCAATCTCAACAACAATCTTTGTCTTTTTGTGGGATATTTTAAGCTTCATTAATGCAAGTTATTGATGGAGATAATGACATTCTTGCTGAAGTCTCACCATCTCTTCTTTGGTTTTTGCCATTTTCTCCCCAGTTGCTTTTTTAACCTCCATTAAATCATTGATCTTTGCCTTCAACTTTTGAATTATATGGATTTCTTTCAACATAACAAACCATTGTCCCCATCTACAAGCTCTTTAACCTAACAAAAATAATTGCAAGAATTAGGTTCCTTCAAACCAAATATAAACAAATTTATAAACACAATCACAAATTCATAACAAATACAACCAATTGAACTTACATTCCAACTAGAGCATCTCCAAAACCTTATACCAGGATTATCCTTACTCTATGAGGTCAAAATTATAGTGGGCTTCTTACATTTGCAAGTCACAGCTTGTGCAGAAGATGAGCACGATGAACCATCCACACTACTTATTTCCTTAAGACGAAGAATCGAAATGGAACCCCATATGGATAACGACAACACACGATAGAGAATCCTAACATTCTTTTTCCTTCTCTGCTTCTTCTTTTTCCTTTCGAGTTCGTCTTCAACATCTTTGTTCATTGCTTATTCTTCAATTAGGGTTTTAGATTTGACCCTCTTTCCCTTTTCAAAGTCTTTGTTCTGTGCTTCTTCTTCAATTAGAATTTTAGATTTGTCCCTTTTTCCCTCTTCAGCGTCTTCATTCTATCCTTCTTCTTCAATTAAAGTTTTAGATTTGGCCCTCTTTCCCTCACATCACCCAAAACGCAACTTTTAGGTTAAAATTAAAAAATACTGATATAGGATCCTGACATGGTGGTTTAATGGTGAGGTGGATGAGAGAGATCGACGGTGATGCAAACTGT